ATTTTAGTAATTTTTGAACACAGGAAACATAGACAAGCTGAAAAAAGGGAAACTTTTTCCTCGCTTGTGGATCTGTCATATATTAAAAAAGAATTTATGAAAACTCTTTCGACTATCTAACGTGAGAGTTTATCCTAAAAATTTATTTTTAAAAATGCTCCTACAATTTTTGTCTCTGAGTTATTCGCGAGTTAAGTAAAGAAACATTTTGATTTTAATTGCTCATAACTCCTTAAAAATCATCGCAATTAAAAAATCAGATTCACAACTTTTCCTTCAACCCAATATTTTAAGATCGTGTTAAGAGCCATACGGAAGACAAAAAAAACTTAAGTAACAAGACAAGCAATAAGGAAATCCACATGTTACCGCTTATATTATGGCCTTACAGTCTCTACTGTGATTGGTCAATTCGCTTTGGTCAATACTCCTTACGTTTAACGCTTAAGTTTTTAATCGACTTTGGAGCGTTAGATTAACTTTACTTGAGATATCAAATGCTTTTTGAAACAACGGCACGTCATTATCTGCAGATCAAATCGATACAACCTGCAGTTGGTTAGTCAAATGTACTGGAACGCTTAAATCGAGTCATTAAAAACTTCTTTCGGGCATCCCTATGCGGACGTCTTCTTGTTCAAATTAATGCCCCGTGAAAAAAGTATTTAACGGAGATATCGTTAAATTACGAGAGTTCGTTCCCACAGGGAATACCGACTACGAGTTTCGGGGAAAATTTGTTTTTCACACCTCCTCCTTTCAACCCCAGATAAATTTTCGTCCGGAGGGTCAACGGTTTTTGCGTGCTTCGTAATTAAATGCGGATCGTCGGGTTTAATGACTATCAAGGGGAACGAATGGCCGTTTGACCTAGAATGCTTACCATCTTGGCTGTATTTAGCCGCATCAAAATTCACGACCACTAGTTATTGGCATGAGATACGATCGTCCCTAATTGGTAAATTGCAGCTGAAGATATTCGCGCACGCGAATTCTTAATCGCCTTTTTATCGTGAATTTTTATCTCTCGCGAGATTTCGAAATAGAAACTATCGCGAAGATATCGTCCGTCAAATGGAGGTCGCGCTTGCGAGTCGCATTAATCTCGTTTCTTCGGTTTTATCAACCCAGTTGACGCAAAAACGTGCCTCGGCGATCGAGCGGTTTTATTTCCTACAGAATTAAATTGTACTTCACATTTATTATTTGCGCTAATCGCTGGTTAATCTTCCAAATTGTCCCGATATTTCTGAGCTTTCCTGAGCTACGACCTGGAACTCTTACTTTCGGGCTTAACGTACCTCGTCCTCCAGCGCGCTGCGACGTTAATCACGGCACGGTTGCCCGAGACTTACGTTTTCTCTCTCGTGCCGAGTTGCACGCATTAACAAGTGCAAAATGTTATAAAGTGCGAGATGTACAGGCTTTCCCGCGATATTCGCGGCGCGTGTTTCTCCACAGAAAGAATTTATTCGCCCGCCATTCACTTCTTTTGCGTCGTATACGCGAGTTTTAATACCGTTACCGATACCTTTCTTCTCTACCCCGCTATCTTTTATAGAGTTATGTAAAGTGTGCGCGCACACACATAGAATCGCGGGATACCGCATTTTTTATTCATCGTACATTTTCTCGATTGTGTTGGCACAACAAATATCGAAAACGAAGAGAGTACATTTACAAGCGATTATAAACCATTGTTCTAAATCAAACCGAACAATCTTCATTAAAGTGCACCAACTTTGAACAAACTTTTATTGCGTTGAGTTAATATTGCATTAATGCATTATAGTGTCGATTCTTAAACCGAAACACCGAGAATAAATTTTTTTACTCTTGAAAAATCAATTTTAAAACTTTTCTTTTATTTCTTGATTCTTTCAGAATCGATCCAATATTTTTCTAAGATATAATGTATATATTATTAAATAAATAAATAAATAATAATATTCTCTGAAATTAGTGAATTTATTATACCTCTTTATAAATGTTATTATTTTGTTAATTATTGTATCCATTTTAATCTTATTTACAAAAGTTGCAAAAAGAAAATAAAAGAATTGATTCTATTTCATTCAATCAATCGATTGAATCGATATTACTATATTGACAATATTATAATGCATTACTCGTATTAATTATGTATTAAATTAAATAAGTATTAAATTTTGCATAAATTACACAACTAAAAGTTTCCGCTTTTTCCGTCTATTACGAAATCAATGACACTTGATATTTTTAACATTGATCTTTCAAGAGACGGCTCTGGTAACGAAATAAAACTGCGATCCTCACCATCGTTCTATTTTTTAAGAAAAGGCAATATCTGACGTTCATCGCAAAGAGAAACGAAATTTTATGATTACTCTCATAACACCAAATTCGACTCTTCCAATCATTTTGTCACTCTCCAATAAATATCTTGGCGCTAAATTCTCCAATGATGTTGCAGGAATGTCTTATGTAATTCCTCTCATCGCCAAGAAAGATACACTTCGTTTTTATGTATGTCATATACCTTGACTACTTTCGCCTGTAAGTATTTAAAAAAGAATTTCGTATCTCTCAGACATTTATGCAAATCATTTGACATAACAAATCCATGTTTCTTACAAGATAGGAAACGAGCGAGAGTTAATTCGCATAATTGAAAGGAAAAAAAACTGATTGAACTTGACCGTGCGTGATCGATTTGGTTTTGGTCAAAGGTCGAGGATCGAGAGAGCATTGATCCTCACTTCTCCGTCTCCGTCTCTCTTCCGGTGTTCGCGTCGCTGACCAAAAAAGCAACCTTGTCGCCTTGACGACCTCGTAACACCTGTTACGCGCAATGGAGTAACTTAAGTAAGGTTACGCATAAAACGAGTTTGCAAGCCGCCACGAGGCCACGCAGCCTCGTCTCTCGAAATCGCTTTCACCGAACCATCGCGGACCGCCGCGTGCTTATGTTCCAAGGCTGAAGGATCCCTCGCGCGAGGAAACCGGTAATACGGCTGTGTGTATGCCTGCGTTTCGCGGAAGGAGGAAGTACAAGTTCCATCTCCGCACGACTCGGTTAGTGATCTCCTCTTTTCTCGCTCTCTCTCTCCCCCCCCCCCCCCCCTCTCTCTCTCTCTCTCTCTCTCTCTTTTTCTCATTACGTCTCGTTATGCCACTTGATGAGTCTACCGCGCGGCCGAGCGCAGGTGCGAAGGACGGCGCGTGAAATGAAAGCCGAGTGTACGCTCAAATTACCGGAAGAGACACGTTGTTCCACGCATATTACGTCGCGGAAATCGAGGGGATCCGATTACGCAAGGAAATTCGTTTCACGGTTCTATCTACGGTTTGGGCCACGATTTAATTTCGCAGATGCAGGGCTCGATCTTGCTTTCTGACTCTCGCTTCGTGGGTGACCGGTATAAGTGGCTCGTTGAATATCCCTGACAAGGTTAATAAGATAACGACCTGGCGAAAGTCTTTATTACATCGAAAAAAATGATTCATGCTCAACGCCGTGTAATTACAGAGAAAAAGGGGAAACATTTATTGAACGTTCACTGCAACATTTTACGGAGACCAATTATGGGAAACCAACAACGCGCGCTATATGGGTATATTAAATATATTATTTTTTTCTATATTGACTTACCTTGCGCAGTACAGGTGATTACGATATCTATCTGCTAGCTAGTGCATTTTTTTCTGTCACCAGACATGCTGCGGTGCACGTTACTTAGCTAAAAGACCCGCGTACCAAATATTAGTATCGCGTCTCGCTGTCACGACCCTCGAATTGAAGTCCGTCCAACTCGAAGAGAATCGCAACGGACAGCAAGCGAGATGAGCGAGACGTTGAAAGTTTAAGCCTTATAGCATGCTCGCAATCGCAGCCGTCTATTCGTAATGCTATCTCGACGTACAACTTTCCGGGATGTACGTAATGAGAAAAGCTGATTGTCGTCCTCGACATGAACGACAGAATACCATTAGCACGCTCGCAAAACGATGTACCCGCCGCCGGGATTCAAGGATCAAACGTCGGGCCGGTAAGACGAGATCGACCTTCGCGAGAATAACGAAGGTAATAGGGAAGAGAATTTTTGCGGTTTCTGCCAATTTTCAGAGCAGCGGTGTATTCGACACCGCGCGGTCGAGAATCGAGTGACTCATATCTTTTAATAAGCCAATTTTTTACATACAGTATAAGAGAGGAGATCCAAAATTACAACGCTTGTGCGTAGCAACAGATTTGCGACGATTATAAGCTAAGGGTTCTTTTTTTTATTATTAATTTACAGCGTATTTATGTATTACGTAACTTAACAATTCTAAGAATGTCCGAACCTTCGCGTATTCTACGATCACGTTTGTCATTTCAATACACTACTGCGTATCGGAATGCAACATTGCGAGATTTGATATCGATTTAAGTTGTGCTTCATTAACATAAATATTAACGCTTTACATTTGCAATGCTAATAAACCAGCAATGTTATTATAAATATTACATGTAATAATATTTTTTTCGAGCGACTTTTGAGAAACTTAATTGCACAAGTGACATGCTGTTTACTTAAGACTACAGTCGCGTCAAACATATTTCTTTACCATATAAATGCCATTGCTGGATTTAAAGTGTTAATGTGCGTACCGTAAAAGTCACGCGTGACTTTTCGAACATCTCGCTAAACAATAAATACGTCATAGTGCCGTGCATGCACAACGCACGTGAACATGCACCCTCGGTATACAAGTAAAATTTGGGGATTGGGGGAATGTGTATCGTAATAGACTATGTTATTTCATAAGTGACAACAATAAATAATGTGTTTATACATAAGTTGAGTGCAGAGGAACGAGGTATCGCGTGTGATAAGATATATTACTCTCTTCCTTTCTCTCTCTCTTTCCATTTTCTACTCCGTTATCCTCGACGACTCTTTGGGTTGTTTTACATGCAGAGACTGGTCACGTAAAGGCTCGTCGGCTCGTATTCCACCACCGATCCCTTTCATCTATTTTTTTTTTCTCTTTTTTGGGGGGAGAACGGGGGTGCACCGGGAATTCTTTTGATTCTCAGAAGCCGAACGAATTACCTGCGCTGGGTGGCACGAATCCGTATCCGCTCGCGCCCACGACGACGCCGCTGGTGTCAGCATTATTGGGAGGCGGCCCAGGTGGGAATAATACCGGACCTACGAAAGGAGAAACATACGTTAAAACGCATTATCGTAATCCCATTTTAGGGGCTGCGATTGTTCTCACGATTCTTCATCTCTGATATCGAAAATACTTTATTCCTGCATTTCCAACTAGTGAATAGGTATGTCAAAATTTTTAGGGCAATCTCTCTACGTAACAAAGACGTTTGATATCCTTGGAATAATCTTCGTGAAAAGATCCTAATCGATGTTTTGATACTCGTATAATAGTAACGCTCAATGATTTATAGCCAAATGCCGTAGTCGAATAACAAATACTTGTAAATGTCCTATCGTGAATCTATTGATCTCCGGTATAACCTATATTCATACAGAGGTATACAAGATCTATAGGATCGTTATCGACATCGTTTGACGAGATTGAATTGAGTTGATTGGATGCTCACAACAGTTACGAAGATCATTTGACTTTCATGGTCATTGGCGAGGCAACGATGCGCGGTTGATCGCACATAGTAAACACAATCATTAAATGTGATGTCAAACGGCATAGAACTTTCAATTAACTTTGCAAAAATTTTGCTAAAGAGTTTTATTCAATGTTATAAAAAATATATTTTTACACTTTTACAAAAAGGTGACTTCTACTCTTTTTTTGTAAATTTAACGATAAAACTTTTGAAAGTACAATACGTATCTATGATTAAAATATTTGTTGCTTATACTAGTGATTAGTGCACCAATATATATATATATATATATATATATATATATAAAACATAGCTTTTTGTGTTGTTAATTACATTTTCGAATTATCATTATTCTAACGAAAGCAATAGTAGTTTCATCAACATCTAAAATTTAAGAAGTCGTCTCTCAGATAAGGAATTTCTAATGAAAATTGTCTCCAATTTGTGTTCGTTTACCGTGCATATTATATTATTTAACAAACCGCAACTGCTAATGGCACTATAGTGTGTGTTACGTGGCATTAAAGGAAAGTTGTACTTATCTACGAAGGAGTAGTGGAAATCCTTTCTAACACGAGGAAGTGGATCATGTGCCGTATTATTAATAGATCTACTGACACGATATTATATGGGCGCAGATACTATCTAGATTTATATATTAAGATAATTCTCTTGACGATCCTAGCATTCGGGTAATAAACGTTAGTTTTCCGTCTAGTAGTCTTCTCCTATTATTCGCGAAGTTGTATCAAAATACTCGAGCATGCCTTCGGTGAGTAATCCCTACGAATATTCAGTAGTAAAAAAAAAAAAAAACGAACGATTTGACTGATGTAAGCTTTCCATGTTATTTCGATAATCACTTTCTAAGCAGTAGTCTTAGTACACAGAGAAGTATGAAAGCAGAAAACAAATTGAAAGCATTAATCATTTAATTTCCAAATATATCAGTACCACAAAAAAAAGCAACAGTTTAATGTACGAGAAAAGTAAAAGTATGAATATTATAAAATAGATAATAAATATATTTTTTTGTAATATATTTATATAAATATAATCTCTTAAAACTTTCTATTGCGTATAGAAATTAGATAGCTGGTTTTTACGTTAACAGATTAAGATGTGATTTATATTGCACAGACTACTTGCTTAAGTATTCCGTCAGACACACGATATATGACGCATTATTTATTGTACGTGAATTTGAACTTGACACTCATTCTGAAGCCGTTTATTATGCGCATACTAACGCTCGAACAGGTTGCGAGGATCGCGTATCCTGTGCAAGCCGTTTAAATAATGTAGTTTGAACTATTCGAGCAACCTTAGAAGTAACAGCGTTAGTGTGATATCATAATATTCCGAATAGTTTCGTTAAATTCTTTTACGTTGGTTGTAAAACGTTTACATTGAAATAGATTTCAGAATTGCAAAATCTTATTCTCAAGTAATAATTTTCAAATACATAACTATTATAAAAATATCACGACATAGAACAGTGTAAAAGATAAAATGTTAATTTTAACTTAAAGACATGTAAACTTTCTGAGATATTAAACAACGTTAAAATTAATACTTTTGTGTTAATCTTAACATTCTTGCATGCCTTAAAAAGTCTTGTTCACTATACACCTTTAAGTTAAAATTAACTTTTACGTTTTACAGTTAAATAATTAAAAGAAATGCACTGGTTTACATAAGGCATTCAGAAATTTTATTACAATTTAAATTATGAAGTTCACGTTACATATAAAGTCAAATAGTTTTGCCTTTCCTTCCGTTACGCGTGCACGTGTTCAAGTAAATCCCTAGTTAGCTGCGTTGTTCCGGTAAAAGTTCTATACTATCTAAGAGCAGGATAGATTCTGCATCAGTAACAAGACATTACCCACACGATTCGATTCAGACTCGTTCCTCTCGATCGCAATCAGTCGTTTGATTATACGACAGCGCACTTCAAAGAGCATTCCTTTTATATCTAGGATCTTTACGGCTGAGTGGACGCAAACCATCATAAAAACGATTGTTATATTGTCAATCGTGCACTGAACGTTATATAAATAGTTGCAATACGGATAATAAGCTACAGCTATTAATTTTCCTCAAATATTTCCGTACTACACATTTATATCTTATCTACTAAATTTCTGAACAGAAATCATTAAAATTGTTAAAAATGTCTAGTTTATTATAAAATTGTACTCTTCCCTATATCGCGTTGTAAGACTTTTATTATAGCAGATACGTGAACCAATAATTGTCGCGATTGTATCTTGTTACATCTTTCAATAACATCGTAAGTGAGACTTTGTTTCTAAGAATCTATCACATTGAGGAAGAACTTTCGAACGATTGAGGAATTCTAGCGAACGGTATTAGAATGCCTACCATTATTTGCGGATGAAACGAGGCCGTTTCTTCGCGGCGTATGCAAATAGAAGAAAACATAAGAACAAATTATCGTAATTGCACGATTCTCAGCTTCCTGATAACGTGGAGGATATACAAGAACGAACACTTCCGAAGCATACCGTAAATCACAATGAGCACTTCGAAACGTCTAATAATAGCGTATGAACAAAAAAGGAAAGCGTAATTGTTTTATAGTGAGCCATCGGGCACAGTAATAATATACCGACAAATCATCTTCGGATTATGTAAATTGAAGTAGTTATAAAAGTGCAAGAGTCATTTCAGAAAACTTTATAAGCGATTAAAAATCTATGTTTGATTAATTTAGCAAATAATTAATATATAATTTTATTTAAAAAATTGTATTTTGTAATAAATATCAACGATGTAATGCATATCTGACTATAATAACAAATAATTATTGTACATCTCACTGTTCTGTTATCTATTGAAGTTTCAGTCAAAGAAACTCCGTTATTTTTTTCACCGCACTGTTAATGATATCAAGTTTAACTTAATTTAAATGACTATTGCTGTGTGCTATTCGATATTTTACTAAAATAATGGTTAAATTTAAAACTGTAGACTATAGAAATAAAGTTTTACTACAGAAATAAAATTTTCTGGTTAAATCTACTAAAATTCTCTAATCGAGATAACCGAAATCCTAATTGATTTAATCAAAATCTTTTAGTTTGTCTATTTTCAACCAAACATTTTTTTCTGTGTAGCGTTAAATTAACATAGTATCACTATATAGTATCAAATTGACTTTATGACAGTCATAGTGTTAATGACAATTGTAACCATTGTTTTAGTATAAAATAACGATATGTTGAATAGGAGCAGTGGCGACTTATATTAAATTAAATTTGACACTATAGATTTAGCAGTGTATAACATAATCTTGGTTGTTATTAGAAAGAAATAACTTACCCCTATTCGATCTCGGATCTCTCGTTATTGGGTCCCGAATACTGTAAGGCCCAAATCCCGCGAAAAAATGCCTGAAATCCTGCGCTGAGACACTCGCCAGGACGGCCATGACAAATACGACTAGAACAGTCTGCAATTAGAAATTTTTAATTTATATAATTATCACAAAAGTACATTATAATAAAGTGTCACATTGAATTTTAAGAGTTCCTCTATGTTTTTAATACGCAAGTAAGTAAATAGCGACTAATATACGTTTCTTAATAAACTTATAAGACCTTTTTTTTTTGCTAAAAAATAGAGGAATTTCCTAAATGAAATACCGAATCTGTAACAATAAAAAAATTCAACGTGGATATCGAATTGATCTCATGGAAATTTCTAAGAGCAAAACAAGAACATCTCGTTTTAATTCCTACATTACGTAAGGCTGTGAACATCGTTGTGTAAAAAAAGCGTAACCTAAGAAGAAAGGCAATCCTAACTCAGATGTTTAATCTTACATTTTTCAACTGCATTACGAAATAATGCAGCAGCTGTTTCTTGTGAATCGCGACGCGATACCACGCTTAACTGAGAGAGGATCTTTCTTAATGAGCATTCACACACGTCCAGTACTGCAGTGATTTACATAGATACGTACGAAAGATACAGACGTTAAAGAGCCAAGAATGATATTTTTTCATTCGTTCCACACCTAAATCGTCGGTTACTAATTAAAACAATATAAGAGTGCTTTCGCCCGTTTAATCACTCGGTTTCTCACGAAGTAACAGCTGTTTGACGAAACTTGCTCTTCGTAGCGCAACCAACGATCGAATCATCGCGAGTGTAATTTCGACCGTTACAACTGTCCGAAAAATAACCGTTATTATGATAATTATCGGTGTATCGCGCCGATCTAGTCTGTCAGGTGCTAAATAATGGCACTATCCGCATAACAACGCTAAGTATAGGCTTTAAATTATCGAGATAGACTTTAACAGCAAGCTGAACGTTGAACGCACGATCGTGCTTCCCCCGTTGAAAATTGCGTGCTGTAAAACCTTGGAATTATATCCCTTTGCCTATTTGTCGACTTGTACGTTCTCTCTCTCTCTCTCTCTCTCTCTCTCTCTGATCAGTGAAGTTATATCGTCCGTGACGAAGGTGCGTGACAATTTTTACGGCTGATCGATCGCCAACCACGTTTCCAATGTACAATTTCCACCGTAAGAGCCGCAGAAATTTATGACCCTACACATATCTCTAAATAGCCCCTCTGTCAGATATTTACAAGCAAATATGCTACTTAACATTTTCATTCCGTGTCGACCTGACACGCATTCGCAGCCGGCTAGAAGCCAGATTCCGATAAGAAAAAATTACTGGATCCACCGCGAAAACAATTTTTATTTCTATCTACAACTTTATTTATCTGCTTCTTATTGAGAATACTTGTATTTGCGTTCAGTGGTCATTATTATCATCGCGATTTTCCATTCCAACTTAATGGCTACATCGCGTGTTCAATCACTAATCTATCGCGCTCCGTGATGTCGTAAGACAAACACTGTCACAATCAAATTAACGAAGAGAACCGCAAGGACTCACGTTCGATTAGAATGACGTAAACCGCCGTGCGTTCGCTTCGAAAATCCGTTATCGCTTCACGAATTTTATGTGGTCCTTACGCAAACGCAAAAAAAGATGGGTAAGGGAGGGTGGGGGGGGGGGG